GTAAAACCCACCAGGGAGGGAGGTAGAGGAGACCTGGAGCCACTGGACATGGCTTGGCCACAGCCAAAGCTGTGTTTTTTCCATCTGCAATCGACCTTGAAAGTGTCCTTTTCAGACTAGAATGCAGAGGGATGCTGGCAGGGTTTTCTCCCGTACCAGTGGTAAAACAGGTTTGTCCTTACTTACTAATCTGTTTCTTTAGATTTCCTTGATACTACTATTCTAGTTTGCAATTCCTGTTTTTTCTTCCACATGATAGGCCGTGTTTTCCTCTCCCATGGTTACATTCTTTGGGACCTTGGGAGAGAACAGGTGGCTCAGGGTGGCCTCTAAATGTTAACCATCTTTCTAGCTACTCCACTCTGTGCTGTAACCAATCGTCAGGCACTTCATTAAATGAGAATTAAAGCACTGCCTTTTGTGAATCACCTGCTGCCTTAGAGCAGTGGTTCTTCACTGGGGTGACTCTGCTCCCCCAGGGGACACTTGGCAATGTCTGGAGACATTTTTGAGTGCCACAATGAAGGACAGTGGGGGCTGCTACTGGCATCTCATGGGCAGAGGCCAGTGATGTTACACATCCCACCATGCATACAACAGCTTTCCACAACAAAGAATTATCCAGTCCGAAGTGTCAGTAGTGCTGAGAACGAGAAACTCTGATTTAGAGCAAAGCTCCCGCAACCCAGGGAAAAAGAAACAAACACACAAACTAACCATGGAGCCCCAGATCAAGAATTCTGTGACCAAATGCATAGGGGCTCCCAGCAGCTGGCAGCCTGTAAGGAATGATTGTGAACAGAATACACATTTAGCATCTGAACATATTTCTTTCCTCTTTCTCTGCCAGCCCACACAGATTAAAGAAAGAGGCTCTAGCTAAAGAGATAATATAAAGGTTGCTTCACCTAAATAGCAAGATGTCACCATTCCAGACCAAATGAGAGAACACATAAGAAGTGCTTTCTTTGTGAAATTACACGGTGAGCATTGTGCATGCAGTCTACTGAGCATCCCTGCTCTGCTCCAGAGAGACCCATCGTTCCCAGTTGGTGTCTTCTGCACCAGACATCTAAGTTACCATGGTGTCCCAGGGGCCTGTGGCAGTGCCCTGAACAAAGCACCAGGGCCATAGCTCCTTGCCAGGAAAAACCCTTGAGAGCTACTTTCCATCAGGACACACAGGACACACACATCCTGCCACACACCAGCATCTTTGGCCAACTCTCAAATGATTGCTATTTATTCCATAATTAAGAGTTCCATTAGTCAAGAAATAGAATTAAGTCAGAATCCTCAAGACTCTACCAAGTACCAACACTTTCTCCCATGAAATGTCCTGTCACTTAAAGGCAGATGATTATTCAGCTAAATTCCTGATAATCAGTGTCACAATAAATAACACTTAACTAGAAAAGTTTCTAGAAAACACCTTGGTTGGCCAAAATCCCATTGCTTTTCTGGTTCAGAGTGCCATTTCAGGGAAACTTCACAGTGAGATAAGCTGTCAGTGTAACTAACGGTCATGCCAGGACCAGGAAAAAAAAAAAAAAGACTATGATTATTTGAGACGTGCTAATCATCATCAAGTTTCTGGGTCCCACGGCCACTTCATTTACACATTGTCTATGGTAGCTTTTGCACTACAACAGCAAGGTCTAATGGTTTTGACAGAAACTGTATGTGGCCTGAAATATTAGCTATCTGGTCCTTTTAGGAAAAAGTTTACTGACCTTTATCCTAGCACATGCCAAGTTCACACCTCTGCACATGCTTGTCTCTGCATGGAAATCACCTCTGACCCCATAGCTTTCTATGACCAGCTCCTTCTCATCCTTAGGTCCTGGCTCAAATGTCACTTGCTCTGAGTGGCCTTTCCTGAATACTCTACCTAAAGAAACCTAGCCCACCTTCACCCTGTATTCTTCCTTCACAGCTCTTATCTGAAGGTATCTTGTTCATTTTCTTTTGAGCTGTCTTGTCAGAAGAGCATAAGCTTCCTGAGGGCAACCCTTCCTTGTCACAGTGCCGAGCAGAGTGAGTATTCATGAACTGCACGGACACTGGCCACACTAGTCACATAAATCGAGCAAACCCGTACTCAGATCCCAGTCTCTAGCCACCAGGGGTCTATGCTGAAGAGACTACCCTGTCTTCAGGCATCGTGACACAGTTTGTGAGATGTGAAACAAGCAACCAGATAAAACCTGTGCTATCCTTCTTAAAGGTTTAAGAGGTTATATATATAATAGCTGAGTCGAGCTGTAAGATAACAACAGGATGCGTTTTATGCCAAAAGGAAAGGGAAAAACAGGGTCTCCCACCTCACGACTTCTGGGCATTGAGCAACAGGCTCCAGACCTGTCCATGCCTGTCACAGGGGCCTGGCGTGTCAGTGCTGTTCTGCCCTGATTAAAACGCTGCGTAACGCCTATAAATAGGAAGGTCTTTTAAGCACTAATTAAAAATAATAAGAGCCTGGCATTTGGAAACTTCTATAAACAAAACTGTAAGAGCTGAAATAAAACAGCGACAGTTGTGCCTATGCTCACTCAGGTGGATGTAAAGCTACATGTGTCTTCTCCAGAGTTCTTGAGTTACCCCTGAATTTACAGTGATTTAAAATGTATAACATGCACCTTACCTTTCAGTTAATAAGAAACTAGCTTTTCTTGATTTATTCAATTTTAACAATTGTAAAATTCATCATAATATTTTATTTAACCCAAGATAACCAAAATATCATTCTGACATAATAATCAATAGGGAGGAATTGTTGAGATAGTTTGCTTTTTTCACATGACAATTTCAATATCCTTGTGCATTTTACACTTGCAAGCACACCTCAATTCAAAACAACTGCGTCTCAAGTGCTCAGCAGCCACTTGTGGCTAATGGCCGCTGTACTGGACTGTTCAGTTTTAAAATGTTCAGTTAGGGCCGGCCCGGTGGCACACTGCTACAGTGCGCCGCTTGGGAGGCGTGGCAGCGCTCCCGCTGAGGGTTCGGATCCCACATACAGACCGGCCGCTCACTGGCTGATGCACTGCTACAGTGCGCCGCTTGGGAGGCGTGGCAGCGCTCCCGCCGAGGGTTCGGATCCCACATATAGACCGGCCGCTCACTGGCTGAGCG